CAATTAAGCGTCTACATTTGTGCTGACTTAGTTAGGTCGCGACACACTGCGACTAACTAGGTCAACGGCAAATACACACACAAATGTAATATGCTGAAATGTTCCTTACCGTATAATACCATGTAAATAATTTAGTATAAATACTCTGTAAATATTGAAATAAAATTAGTCTAACACCAGGCTCACTATTATTCGGATGCTGATAAAGTGTCAACCCTTGGAATCATCAATGATGCAGATAATGTGTCCAACGATATTACTAAATCGGTTCTTCTCAGAACCCCAACTTTGATAGTCACATCTCTCATCACATACGACTACAGAGAGTGGCTACAGTGGTGACCCCGATTATGAACAGTGATAAACTACATTGGTGACCACAGCCGGAACCTTCTGAAGATGATCTGCCGCCATCTTATCCGTCACACATTCTCCACCGGCCAGTCCTCATCAGGACTACAATGATCACCCTACGGAGCAGCGCAGCCCTGCTCCACAGCAAGCAGCATGTAAGGTAACAACATCTCCCAGGCCAGCCGCAACGTAACGCCCAATCTTGCCACAACACGCCGCCGTTCACCATGTCCCTTGACCGACTAGACGTCAAATTGCCACCCTTCGTGCCTTCCGACCCCGAACTCTGGTTCTGCATGGTCGACCGCAGTTTTGAGGCCTACGGAATTACATCCGAATCAACAACAACCCTCACTATGCGGCGGAAGTGCGTGATATCATTGTCAATCTCCCGGCGACTGATCCATATGCCACCATCAGGGCAGCACTCATTCGTCGGGTGGGCATCTCCCAAGAGGCACGGATGAAACAACTCCTCGAGCCAGAAGATTTGGGAGACAGGAAACCCACGCAATTTCTGTGCCATCTACGCGGTCTGGCCGGAACCACAATGTCGGACGATTTACTGCGAACCATTTGGTCAAGTCGTCTTCCTTTTAATATTCAAGCCATCATCGCAACTATGCGCGATAAGAATCTGGATGAAACAGCAGAGGTCGCCGATTACATCATGGAAGCAACTCAAACACAGTCCATGATAGCAGCTACGGCCACACCTACTCTTCAGCACGATACCATCCAGCAACTGACCAACATGATACATACACTCCAGATGGATCTGAACAACATGAGACGACATATGGCAAGAGGTTCGAGGACAAGATCTCGATCTCATTCGAGAAGCACTTTGCAAAGACGATCCCACAGCAGCAACAGGAGCAGTGACCTTTGTTTCTACCACAGCAGATTCCAAGACAGAGCACGAAAATGCATTCCTCCGTGCAGGAAGTCATCGGGAAACCTACAGGGAACTCACTAATNGATGAGGAGGAACATGCAGAGGAGTACGAAGAGGAACGGTTTCTGGGACGCTTCACCACACGGAAAGGTTGCTCGTCGGGAGAAGTGGTTCTGGGATTCTTGGTAGTCGGAGTTTCCGTGGTGTAATTGTTGAATGTGTCTGCGTTTGTTGTATAAAGAATGAGTTGAGAAATTTGGTTAGTTGATTAAATTATTGGGGATTGAGTTAATTCAAAGGGACGTTGCGTACTCGGTCCCAGTGAATGTCGGTTAGTTGTAATAAATTTGATATCTTTACCTCTGTCGGCTGGGCTACTGGTCCACTGCTTACCTCTGGTAGAGTTTATCTGTGAAAAAAGAAAGCTGCTGTATGCTGAGAAGATTCGCTCGCTGTGAAGGTCGATCGAGGGATGCTGGTACTGTGGAATACACGGTTATTTATACAAACCCCAGTACCACGCAAGGGTTGGGAAAAAGAGGGGTTGAGACTGGGATGATGGTGGGGTGATAAGAGAAGGGCGAAAGGTAATGATAAAAACGAATTCGCTTTTATCGTTAACTTCGCGGAAAAAAATAAAAAAACTAACTATAGGAAACGACAGGGCATGCATGAGAATATAGTGTTAGAAAGAAGAGCGGTGGTTCTACGATAAAAATGACTAAAAATAAAAAAAGAGAGAAAAAAAGATGATTGCACGAAGAAAGTAAGGAAGTCAAAAAAAAATAGAGGAAAAGAAGGGATTAAGTAGGAAACTACAACCAAACAGCGGGAATAAAAAAACAAGAGTAAAGTAAAATATAAATACATAAGGGAATTAAAAATAGAAGATAAAAGTTGCTATTGTAGGTAAGTTTGGTTGTAGCACGGGGTAGTTCAGGTAGCTGGTCACGGGAAAACCTGTACTTATCGTGTTCCAAGAATAAATTTCCTAGCTAGTAGGTACAACCCACAACAATATTCACCATTTCTAGTCATAATTCGATAAGCATAAAATTGCATAGCTGATACTTTTTTGTTAGTTTCGAAACCTGTAGTTGGATTTATTTGTTCAATATTGAAGTGATAACCAAATTAGCGGATATTGCAGCGCTTCATAGCTATACGATGTGTTTCAGCAATACGTTGCAATTTATTACTTCGACGTTGGATAATAATATCACGATGACTACATTCGTTATCAACAATGACTACGGCAACTTCGTTCGTTTGAGGTGCATTGAACCTTCGTTCATGTTGACATGGATTAGTTGATTATGATTATGAAGTAGAGGTAGTTATATTTGAATAATATCTCGTTGTAGTCACTGAATATTAGAGCAACGTTGGTCTGTTTCAATTTCTTCCTTACCAACAAAGTATATTTGAAGAAATTTTGGAGTTTCATTAGACATCGGCAGAAGTGAACCTACTCGGTGATAAATTTGGCCTTGAACCTTAAAAACCGGACTGCAATTTCCTTCCTGACATATTAATGTAATGTATATTTTCAGAAACTGATTGGAATCTGGTGTTTTTCCAGTCATACATGCAAGTAATTGTGGTGGTGGTACATCTGAGGCTGGTAAACTGACCAGCGGTTTCGCCTTTAAATTTCCGTGCATGACAATACTCGCATATGGTATCTATTTTTCCTATGACAATATTTGGATGTTCACTATGTGGGAACACTCGGTATAGCAGTAAACAATTCAAATGTGTAATAATTAAAGTTCATCATTTCTACCGACTTAGTAAAATCGCGGTACAGTGCGGCTAACTAGGTCATAGACATTTACACACACATATGTAAACTGCTGAACTAACTATTGCCATTAAACTAATGTAAATAATTTTTGTATAAATAGCTTGTAAAGAATTGAATAAAATTAGTCTAACACCAGGCTCACTATTATTCGGATGCTGATAAAGTGTCAACCCTTGGGATCATCAATGATGCAGATAATGTGTCCAACGGTATTACTAAATCGGTTCTTCTCAGAACCACAACTTTGATAGTCACATCTCTCATCATATACGACTACAGAGAGTGGCTACACTGGTGACCCCGACTACGAACAGTGATAAACTACATTGGTGACCACAGCCGGAACCTTCTGAAGATGATCTGCCGCCGTCTTATCCGTCACACATTCTCCACCGGCCAGTCCTCATCAGGACTACAATGGTCACCCTACGGAGCAGCGCAGCCCTGTTCCACGACACGCAGCATGTAAAATAACGACACCGCCCAGGCCAGCCGCAACGTAACGCCCAACCTTGCCACAACACGCCGCCGTTCACCATGTCCCTTGACCGACTTGAAGTCAAATTGCCGCCCTTCGTGCCTTCCGACCCCGAACTCTGGTTTTGCATGGTCGACCGCAGTTTTGAGGCCTACGGAATTACGTCTGAATCAACAAAATTTGGGTATGTACTAGGCAACCTTGACCCTCACTATGCGGCGGAAGTGCGTGATATCATTGTCAATCCCCCGGCGACTGATCCATATGCCACCATCAGGGCAGCACTCATTCGTCGGCTGGGCATCTCCCAAGAAACACGGATGAAACAACTCCTCGAGCCAGAAGATTTGGGAGACAGGAAACCCACGCAATTTCTGTGCCATCTACGCGGTCTGGCCGGAACCACTATGTCGGACAATTTACTGCGAACCATTTGGTCAAGTCGTCTTCCTCCTAATATTCAAGCCATCATCGCAACTATGCGCGATAAGAATCTGGATGAAACAGCAGAGGTCGCCGATTACATCATGGAAGCAACTCAAACACAGTCCATGATAGCAGCTACGGCCACACCTACTCTCCAGCACGATACCATCCAACAACTGGCCAACATGGTACATACCCTCCAGATGGATCTGAACAACATAAGACAACACATGGCAAGAAAATTGAAGAACCAACACCGCTCAAATTCACGCAGTTTTCAACCCCGACAACGTTCCAACCACAACATTAGGGCAAATGGTCAAGGGCAAGGCACACTAACGCATCCCACCATGACGGATGACAACAGGAAATCAACCAGGAAACCACGTATGGCAACGACAAGTGAGGTCCACACAGCGCAACGTCGCCTATTTGTAACGGACAGAGCAACAAACCAAAAATTTCTGGTCGACACCGGTGCAGATATCTGCGTGTATCCCAAGTCACTAATACCTGGGCCACGTCAGAAATCTACATTCACGCTGCAAGCAGCAAACGGCACCAACATACCGACCTATGGTACTATTATTCTGTCGCTCAACTTAGGCCTACGAAGATGTTTCCCATGGCGCTTCATTATAGCCGACGTCACCAAACCGATTATTGGTGCAGACTTCCTAGCCCACTACCAACTGCTGGTAGATTTAAGCAACCAACGACTCTTGGATCAACTGACACACCTCACCACCTCTGGTCAAGTAATCAACTGCAGCCAACCTTCCGTCACTTTCGTTACAGGAACGAAACCGACCACTTCGCCATACCACGAGATACTTCGTGATTTTCCGTCATTAACTCGACCCAACGGCCAAATCACCTTCTCGAAACATGCAACAAGGCACTATATAAACACTACCCCCGGTCCACCAGTAGCATGCAAACCACGACGTTTAGCCCCGGACCGTTTCTCTGCAGCAAAGAGAGAATTTGAAACGTTGGTACAACTGGGTATCGCACGTCCCTCCTCCAGCCCCTGGGCATCGCCACTGCACATGGTCCCAAAGAAAGACGATGAATGGCGCCCATGCGGAGACTACCGTGCTCTCAACGCGAGAACAATCCCGGACAGATATCCAGTACGCAACATCGACGATTTCACGCATGCACTAGCAAATAAGAAGATTTTCTCCACAATCGACTTGGTTAGAGCGTATAACCAAATTCCAGTCGCAGAGGAAGACATCCCAAAGACAGCAATTACAACACCTTTTGGATTGTTCGAGTTTCCTCATATGAATTTTGGTTTACGTAACGCCAGCCAAACATTTCAACGTTTTATTGACGAAGTGTTACACGGCCTTGACTTCTGTTTTGCTTACATCGACGACATACTGGTCGCATCAGAAAATGCTGAGCAGCACAAACAGCATTTACGCACGTTGTTTACTCGTCTACAGTCATACGGAATACTGCTTAACCAAGCAAAATGCAACTTTGGTAAACAAGAAGTTTCTTTTCTAGGTTATTCTGTCTCGGCAAATGGAATACGTCCTTTACCCGACAGAGTAACAGCAATCTCCAATTTCCCCAAGCCTACTACCGCAAAACAATTGCGACGTTTCCTGGGTATGCTCAACTTTTACAGAAAGTTCCTGCCTAACGCTGCCCGCACTCATTCTGCTCTGAATGAACTTTTACTGGGGAAAATCAAAGGAAATGCACCACTTCAATGGAATCCCACAGCCAACGAGGCATTCAATTCAAGTAAGGAGCAATTGGCGCAGACGACTCTCCTGCACCATCCGCAACCAGATGCTACCTTAGCAATTTTCTGTGACGCATCCGACCATCACTTGGGCGCTGCGTTACAACAATTCCACAATGGAACCTGGGAACCCCTTGCATTTTTCTCCTCCAAGCTATCGAACGCTGAAGTTAAATACAGCGCCTTCGACAGAGAACTTCTCGCGATTTATCGCACAATTAAGCATTTCCGCCATTTTCTCGAAGCCCGTGACTTCATTATATTTACGGATCACAAGCCCCTCACCTTTGCCTTCCGTCAGAACCCTGACAAATGCTCTCCCAGACAGTCACGGCACCTCAATTTCATTAGCCAGTTCTCTACGAACATCCAACATATTTCTGGGAAGGACAATATCATCGCAGACACACTCTCAAGAATCTCTGCGCAGGAATCCGACAGGGAACTTCAAACTTATCTCAACTCTAACCAATCCCTACAACTTAAACGGATTCACATTCCTAACACAAGCAAATCTGTATCAGTGCAAAGACTGAAACCAGCATACATCATGAAGGAAGAACAGCACTTCCAACCGATACTCACAACGAGGAAAATGGACGATCGACCAGCCCATACTACAACCCGGTCCGGTCGTCGAGTACATTTCCCTAGCTATATCCGAGCAAGCTAATCCACTTCGTTCCTCACTGGAAGGGGGGTCCTGTGGGAACACTCGGTATAGCGAAAAACATTTATTGTGTGTATCAATTAAGCGTCTACATTTGTGCTGACTTAGTTAGGTCGCGACACACTGCGACTAACTGGGTCAACAGCAAATACACACACAAATGTAATGTGCTGAAATGTTCCTAACCATATAATCCATGTAAATAGATTTAGTATAAATACTCTGTAAATATCGAAATAAAATTAGTCTAACACCAGGCTCACTATTATTCTGATGCTGATAAAGTGTCAACCCTTGGGATCATCAATGATGCAGATAATGTGTCCAACGGTATTACTAAATCGGTTCTTCTCAGAACCCCAACTTTGATAGTCACATCTCTCATCACATACGACTACAGAGAGTGGCTACACTATATTGTTTTTTGCAATCATAATGAAAAGCCTGAAGTTTCAAACTCTCAATTTTAAATGTAGAAGCTCGTCGTTGGCGTATAGTAGCCATTATTTCCTTTTTCCTTCTATTTTCCTAGAATAATCTAGAATATTTGGACAAAATCTAGAAAATTCTGGAAATCATTGATAATTAATTGCGGACATTTGGAACTTTCCAGATAATTCCAGATATTTCAAGAACTTTTTGGAACATTCTTTATCGATTTTAACAGTCGCACACAATTTGGAACTTTCTGTTATCGCTTCTTCTATATCTTCCTCTGTTTCTAGTTTCTTTATACCATTTATGTAGTGCTTGTTTATTTTTCACCACTGTTCCAAATTCGTTCTTTCTTTTTGTTTTCTTTTCTGTCGCACTTCCATTTAATTTATGTTATTATTGGGTAATGGTCCGAGCTGAGTTCTTCTATTACGTCTGTTTCTGCAACTTCTAGGAGTCTTCTTGATATGACAATGCCTAGCACGTGTGTGTGTGATGTTGTGGTATTGGAACCCCATTGTCTGTGTTTTGCATTTAGGTCTCCTAGTAGTATCGTTGGTTTTGTTTCTTCGAAGAACGCGCTTACGTCCTTTTCGTTTAGCTTGTTGTTTGGGGGATTATAAGCCGCCTATATTACTTGTTCGTTAGTTCCTTGTATTAGGATTGCAACATTTTCTATCTTGCTGTCTGCTGCCTTGTATTGGTAGTGTTTAATTTCTTTTTTTTACTAAGGTGGCGGTCCCACCCTTCCGGTGCCCGATTCTGTCCACTCTATGTGTGGTGTAATTTGGTATGTTAAATTGGTCTTGTCGTTTAAGGTGTAATTCTCCTACGCACATAACATCTATGAGGTTCTCAGCCATGAATTTTAGTTCTGTTTTCTTATTTACTACTCAGTCTGCCTTCCAGTATGCTACTCTATTTTTTTACGGCATTATTGGTTATATAATTTGTTTTTTGAGTCTTCTAGTTGTGCTGTTATATTGTGTAACATTTCTTGCATTTTTGGAACATATCAGTGGCTTTGCTTACTAGTTTGCGGATGCTGCTGTCTTCGTTGTGGACTATTTGGTTTCCATTCATTTTTTACGCAGCCTGCGCATAGGTCACTCCCTTCCTTATTCTAGTTTTGTTTGGGTCCAGCTTTTTGGGCCAATACGGACTGTACAATTTCATATTTTTGTTGAATTACTATTTATTTAATACGCATGCGTCACACCTTTAACCAAAAAGGGATTGTGCGGAGAGAGTGTGTAAGAGTTAAGGTGTGATGGCAGTCAAGAGCAGTACCTGTACACGAATAAAGAGTTTAGTTTAATCATCTTTCATTCCTGCAAAGGGTGGTCCTTCTCTGGAAATCAGTACAAGAAAGTTACAGTCCTCAGCAACATCAGCACACAAAAACATTTTGGTCCTTCGAACTTCATAAGTCCAGCAAAAACGCATGCAAGCACATATTATCGATTAGAGAAGTTAAGGCCACGTCACGTAAGCAGCAAACAGGTACACGCACAAGACGCAACACATTCGTAAAAAAGGTAGTTACACTACAATCACACATACAAAGCAATTGCAAGTAAGGAAAGCAATACACACATACAGACGATAGAGGAAAACAGTGAGTACCCATTTTCATTTCATACCTTTCCTGCTCCCATATACAATGGATGTAGAAACAGAAAAGGCGGAATTAATTAAATCTAGGGGTATATTAAAGGGTCAATTAACACGGTTTAAATCATTTTTAAGCAATCCTCAAAAGGTTTCAAATAAAGCAGAATTAGAATGTAGACTAAAAAAAATAGCAAACTCATTTGTACACGGTACAGGGTAGGTTAGAAATTCTAGACGAAAGGGAAGAAGCGGCGCGAGAAGAAACAGAAAACAATGTTTACGAAGCAATATCAAGAGCTAAATTATTACTAATCTCTGATAAAAATGTACAGATTAAGTGTCCATACTGTAAACATATATGCTTGTCAAGAATTTAATAAATTAACACCTAGTCAAAAATACATTCAGGTAAGACACTTAAAGCTGTGTATTAATTGTCTTCGGCCAGGACATAAGAATAAATTGTGAATCAGGAAAATGCAAACGTTGCAATCGAAATCACAACACATTATTACATAATTCAAATGGTGAAACACATAATCAAATCACACAATCTCAGAACGCAAGAGAACTTAATCGTACATATCAAGTAGAGCCGTGCTTTCAAACCAATCAAAAATTACTAGCATCATCTACCATATACATACAATCAAATACCACATGAAATTAATGCAAGCATGACAGACGTTAAAGAGAATAATGCAATTTTGGAGACTTCACAAGTGCATACAAATGGTAACAAACAGTTGAAAATGTTTGTATTACTGATAACAGCAAAAATACAAGTCTATGACAGTGCGGGGAAAGCACATGCTTGCAATGCGTTGTTAGATTCAGGAAGTCAAAGCAACATTATTACAAAGGAACTGTGCAAAAGATTAAATTCAAAATGTGAAGAATTTAAGATTCCGATTACAGGAATAAATAAAAAAATTACAAATGTTACTCATCGAACAAAGGTAGAAATTGGTTCACGGTTTAATGCATACAAGGTAAATCTCTCATTTCTCACTTTAGAATCAATTACACAAAGAATTCCTAGTGTTAGCTTTGATAGCAGTTTTTTGAATGCACCGGAAGATTTTAATTATGCTGATCCAGAATTTAATATCTCAAAACCAACAGATGTTTTACTCGGAGCTAGCATATTTTATGAATTACTTTGTCCAAATCAATACAAATTAGGTGTAGGTAAACTAGTACTACAGAAAACTTTATTAGGTTGGGTTTTCATAGGAACAATTGATTTAAATAGTATTTCAAAAAATAACTCGTTATGTTCTCTTTCACGTGAAATCACAAACGAAATGCTTGAAGATAGTTTGACAAAATTTTGGAAAACGGAAGAGATTCCCGATAAACAAATTCTTTCGCTACAGGCACAATACTGTGAAGAATATTTTATTAAAACTACAAGGCGTACCGAGAAAGGTCAGTTCATTGTCAGATTGCCATTTTTAAACAATTTAAATGATTTTGGTGATTCTCCTTCAGTAGCACATAAACGTTTGCTCGCGATAGAATCTAGACTTCAAAGAGATAATGCGCTTAAAATAGATTATCAAGATTTTATGAAGGAATATGAGGAGTCATGTCACATATCAGTTTTAACAAACATACCGGAGCAAATTAAACAACCTGCATACTTTCTACCGCATCACCTAGTCATCAAACAAAGCAGCACAACAACACGATGCAGAGTAGTTTTCTATGCGTCTGCAAGGACAAATTTAGGAATATCATTGAATGACAATTTACGTATAGGTTACACTGTCCAAGATGATTTATTTTCGATAGTAATGCGACTAAGACTTCATAGTTACGTATTAAGCGTTAAAAATCGATCGATAGCATGACAATTTGGTGGAATGGTCCTGAGTTTTTGATTAATCAAGAAGTATATCACAATGAAACGTTTCCCACAGAATTTATGAAATCATATGACAATTTACCTGAGGTTAAGAAAGATACATCAATAAGTCTTACAAGCACGTCACAATATAAACATGACATTTTTAAAAGGTTCTCTAAGTTGAGAAAATTGCAAAGGGTTATTGCCTACTGTTATCGATTTAAATAACGTTAAGCAAACAAAAATATAATACTACTATCAGTATCGGAATTAGAAAGATCGTTAGAAAAACTTATTAAATTGGCTCAAACAGAAGAATTGTCACACGAAATAAAACTTATAAGAAACGGTCAATATTTAACTACAAGGAATAAACTTTCAAATTTAAACCCATTCCTTGATAGCAACGGTTTATTAAGAGTAGGTGGAAGAATCAAACATTCACAAATAGAGTTCAATCAGAAACATCCATTAATTTTACCAAAATCAATAATCACTTTTTAGAATTATATCATTTATTAAATAGTAGTAAACATAATGACAGGGTTAGTGATTTTCTGGCTCATGATAAGATAGAATGGGTTTTCATACCGCCACCGCCAAAATCAAATCATTTAAGGCGGGTATTAGGTAACACTTCAGTTACTTACGAGGAAATGTAAACGATTTTAACGCAGATAGAAGCCTGCTTAAATTCTCGTCCACTATTACCTCTATCCCTAGATCCTGATGATTTACTACCTCTAACCGCTTCACATTTCCTAATTGGGCAATCACTAACAGCAGCTCCTCAAAGAGATGTTAAAGAAGAAAAACTGTCAGTTTTATCATGCTATAGTCTTATGCAGCAATTAGTCCAACAATTTTGGTCGAATTGGTCGCGAGAATGTCTGTCTCAGCTTCAATAGTGGAAAGCAGATCCAGTTTCTGCACTGGAGATAGGTTCTCTAGTCATATTCATGGAGGATAATGCACCCCCATTGAAATGGTCTATGGGCAGAATAACAGACTTACATCCAGGACGTGATGGCATCGTTCGACTAGTGTCAGTAATAACAGCCAGTGGTAGTATTTTTCGACGGAGTGTAACAAAAATTTGTGTTTTACCGATGGTTGAAGATGTTTAAATCAGAAGAGAATTATTTTTTTGTCAATTACTTAGTTGTTCATAAGGATGTAGTTCTTATTTATGTTTTAGATTTTATTTATTCATTTATGTATTTTTTAATGTTTGTATTACCGTCATTATTCTGTTGAAAGAGAGCTTTCAAGGTCGGCGGCAAATGTGCAATTTCATATTTTTGTTGAATTACTATTTATTTAATACGCATGCGTCACACCTTTAACCAGGTAAAAGGGATTGTGCGGAGAGAGTGTGTAAGAGTTAAGGTGTGATGGCAGTCAAGAGCAGTACCTGTACACGAATAAAGAGTTTAGTTTAATCATTATTCATTCCTGCAAAGGGTGGTCCCTTTCTGGTAATCAGTACAAGTTACAGTCCTCAGCAATATCAGCACACAAAAACACGGACATTGCCTGTGGGATGCTGGGTGATTGCCCCCACAGTTCGCACATTTTACCGGGATCTTTCTGCTATTTTTACGTTCCATTGTTAGATGTGTTGCTGCACATTTTACGCATTTGGGTGTTGCCGTGCATCTGGCCGCTACATGCCCAAATTTTTGGCACCTGAAGCACTATGGAGGCTCCCTTCATCTTCTTTTGTGACTCTACTTTTATTTGTATGTCTACAATTTCTTCCATGTGATAGATGTTACCTTCCTTTTTAGGTAATGTTGCGACCATGATTGGTAGCGGCGTTCTTGTCTTTTCGGTTGCTTTAGTCATTCTAGATAGTGAGAGCGGGTGAAATGCTTTATTTTCTAGTTCTGTTTTAATGTGTTCTGGTATACTTTTGATCACTACGTGGAGTGTTCTCTCTGACTTCATCTGGAACTATGTCCTTTTGTTCCGTATATTTCGTTACTTTCCTATATTCTTTTTCTGTGTTGAAATGTATTCTTATTCCGTTTTGTGTGAGTTTTGCCTTTTGTAGTTGTATTCCATTTTTAATCATTATTTCCTTGACTTCTTCGAATTTTTCTCTGTTTCTCATTACTATTGGTGGGATTTTGTCTTTCTTCCTTTGTTCTGTGTCTTCTTCTTCTATCATATCTTCTGCTATTTCTATTTCATTCTGTTTTGTTCTGGGTTGGAGGCTGTTTTTTCTATCATATTGTTCTTCATACTTCTCCTTCATTAATTGTTTATCTTGTTGGCTGAATGTTTCGTATCTATTATTGGTCTTTATATTACTATGGTCATCAAATGGTTTTTCAGGGTTTGTTGTTGTCGAGCTGTCTGAGAATGAGTCATCATTTTACAGCTTTTGTGCTGACAAGTTCTTGACAGACTGATTGAGTTGTTTTATCTGTTCATGTAGGTCCCATATCTGCTTTTTGAGTTCGCATATTTCTTCGTCTTTCATGTGTACTATTTCCACTGGTAGAATTCTCTATTGTTTATGTTTATTATGCGTAGCCTTGCGGGTCCGCGGCGCCGCAATGTGTATTCGTTAAACTTTGGTTGTGTATTGTGTATTGCACTTTTATTTATTGCACTATCTATTACACTCTTACACCCTTGAACACTGACTGTATAGACTGCAAGTTTCTTCTTGTACCATTGGCGAGAGGAAAAACCTTTAAAAGGCACCACGCAATTCGTTTTATGTGCGTGGTAGTGTGAGATTCTTACTTCTTAAAATCCCTGGTTCTTTAAGTTCCAGATCTGTGACTTCTCCTTGAAATCTGAAACAGATACTTTCATGTGTGTTGAGAAAGAGGTTATAACTTAGAATCATTGCTTCTCTATATAGGGGACACGTGTGTTATATGGTTCTGGACATCTGGAACATGATAATAGTGTTGCATATATTACGCAAATGCGTCAATATACTAACTGGTATACGCGACTAGTTAGTTTCCAATTCCTTGGTTGCCGTGTCTTGGAATAGGTCCTTTATCGATGGTACTTTTAAGTCCTGCTGTAGCGTCGCGCTTGAAACGAACCACGGAGTATTCGCGACAAGCCACAACGCCTTGTTTTGCATAACTTGGAGTTTATTCAAGTGTGTCTTGGCAGCGTATGAAAACGCGGTTGCGGCGTACGTCATAATCGGTCTAATGACCGATGTGTACAACCGAAGTTTATTGTTGAGGCTAATTTTGTTCCTGCGGTTCATCATCCATGGGATGGGACGTCCGAAGAGATTGACGCTTTCTACCGGAACATTTCGTTTTATAAAGATAAGAGCGCTGCTCTTTTCTGGGTTCACCGCCATTCGCCAGCTTCTGAGTCATTCCTCTAGTTCGTTGGCCGATTCTTGATTTCTGTTGGTAATCACGTGTGGTGCTATAGACTTAGTCATTATAGTGGTGTCGTCGGCATATAGCGCAAGGGCGGTGTCATTTGTCTTGGTTGTAGCTATCGCCGGTGTAGAGAGAAAACAGGAGCGACGATAACGGTGGCTCTGCGGTGTTTCGGCCTCCATACCGCGGGAGCTAGATCGGACGTCCCCAGTGAAACTGCGATTTCGGAGGAAGGACGCTATAGTCTTCACCAACGCCGGGTGGTTACCTGCACAGAAAAGCTTATATATTAGACCATTATGCCGTACCTTGTCGAATGCCTTCGAAACATCAAGGAAAATCGCTCCCGTCATCTACTTCCGATTGAAACCAGACGTCGCAAATTCCACTATTCGTAAAATCTGCTGTACCGACGAATGTTTTGGTCTAAAGCCGAATTGTTCGTCCGGTAAGGGGTTAATACGTGTAACTTCGTCACGAAGTCTGGCTAGCAGGACTCATTCCGCTAAGTTCCCCAGGACCGGATCTATAGTTCTGAGGGAATGTGGGTGATTTTCCAGGTTTCTGAAACGTGATAATGTCTGCGGTTTTAATTAATTAATAATGTTAAATAGAGACATAATGACTTTCACCGGAAGACCTTTTAGAGCTTGCGCTGATTTTCCTTCGGGACCGGGTACTTTCCTGGGATTGGTAGCCTGCAATAACTTCCTAATCTCCTTCGGGTTCGCCGATCTGAAGAAACCTGTGTTGGCTGCCCTTAGTATGCTTCGAACGTCCTGGTCAACTTGTTCGATACTTGTCTTCGTTCGGCGGTAAAGCGTTCTCAAGGAAGTCCGCGAACGCTTCCGCCTTTTCAATTGGTGTGTACATCACACCTCGCTCTCCGTGGATTGGTGGAGTGCTTCGGGTTTGGCGCTTTAGCGAGCGTGCTAGTTTCCACAGGGGATCTGAAACCTGGTCTACGTTATTGAGCCTTACCTGCCACCGTTCGTTGTGTACGTCTAGTAAAGCGTCCTTTGCTTGTGCCGCTAACTGGTTCATGTCTATCCTGTCAAGCGAGTTGCGGGTGCGCCGCCAGCGACGTCGTGCTCTGTTCTTTTCCCTGATCAATCTGCGGACTGTATCAGGTATTCGAATCGGAACCCTAGTCAACGTGCGGGTCGTTGGCGTTTGTTCCAGTGACGACACTACTGCAGCTGTGAGCGTCGAAGGCTTATTCGATGTCCTGTTGGCTTCGGATTACCTTGATTCTAGGAAAATTTTCCTGAAGATGGTCGGTTTGCCCCGGCGAACGACATTCCTTGTTGAACTGCGCTGACTGTTGCGGCGGGAGCAGTCCGGGAGTTCGGCGTGATCCTTGTTCGAGCTCGGGGAAGCCCGGGAAACTGCAGGCAACCGCGGTAGCTCGCCGGATGGGCTCCTTCGCAGTTCGCGCACTTGGCCGGTTGGTTCCTCGGCTTTTCGGATGTCCAGGTATGGTGCTTCTGTCCGCAATTCGGGAGGTTGCCGTGCAATTCCTTGGGGCATTTCCGAAACGTTGCCATTGGTAGTAGTGGTCCGCTGTCGTGGAGTCTCCGCTGAAATTGTAAGAAAACAAACAGTCGTTAATTAAATATTTCCTTGCTTTTGCCGTCTTTTGTCAGGATAACTAAGACGAGTGGTATTGGTGCTTTCGTCTTTGCGCTTGTCATCCTAACGACGTTTTCGACGTTACATCCCTGCACCTTTAGGTCTTCTGTAACGTCTGTAGTCGGAATGTCTGTCGGGATACCGCGAAATACCACCTTCAACGGTTTGTCTTCTTGTAGCAAGTACGTATGGTGTTCGATGGTCTCTTGCTTCAGTAGTCTGATCATGTTCCTGTAGTCCTAGATCGTTTCGGAATGGACGCTTATCCCGTCTGCGATGTTCCTGACCTGTAGGAATTTTAGGTTCTGCCTCGCTAGCAAGTCCGCTAATGTTGTCCATCGGTGTTTTTCCCGTATTACAGTAGGCGGGACGCGCTGTCGCTTTGGTAACGACAATCGATTGTGCGAAGCCGAACTGTCGTTTGACGTTTCGACGTTAACTAGCAGTCCTTCGTAGGTGTTGCTTGTCGGTGTCGGGGGCGGTGTCTTTACTCTGATGTTGGTGACACGAAGCTTCTTCGAAGGATAATGGAAGCTTTCTGGCTCGGTTGGAGGAAGCGTGCGTTTTGGGCTGTCCTCCGTCGCTGGAAAACGTTTTCAGTTTTTAAAAAGAGTTTTAAAACTTTAAACTAACTTTTATTGGATAAATACACTTGCAAATTATATCAATAATGATACCCTATGTGCGTTAATTACATGATAATAATTGGAACGTTGAATTATAGAACAGCAATACACCACGCGTGTCAACTGTAATAATAACTGAATAATTAAATCTGAACAAAGTATTNATTTATTGTGTGTATCAATTAAGCGTCTACATTTGTGCTGACTTAGTTAGGTCGCGACACACTGCGACTAACTGGGTCAACAGCAAATACACACACAAATGTAATGTGCTGAAATGTTCCTAACCATATAATCCATGTAAATAGATTTAGTATAAATACTCTGTAAATATCGAAATAAAATTAGTCTAACACCAGGCTCACTATTTTTCTGATGCTGATAAAGTGTCAACCCTTGGGATCATCAATGATGCAGATAATGTGTCCAACGGTATTACTAAATCGGTTCTTCTCAGAACCACAACTTTGATAGTCACATCTCTCATCACATACGACTACAGAGAGTGGCTACACGACCATGATTGGTAGCGGCGTTCTCATCTTTTCGGTTGCTTTAGTCATTCTAGATAGTGAGAGCGGGTGAAATGCTTTATTTTCTAGTTCTGTTTTAATGTGTTCTGGTATACTTTTGATCACTACGTGGAGTGTTCTCTCTGACTTCATCTGGAACTATGTCCTTTTGTTCCGTATATTTCGTTACTTTCCTATATTCTTTTTCTGTGTTGAAATGTATTCTTATTCCGTTTTGTGTGAGTTTTGCCTTTTGTAGTTGTATTCCATTTTTAATCATTATTTCCTTGACTTCTTCGAATTTTTCTCTGTTTCTCATTACTATTGGTGGGATTTTGTCTTTCTTCCTTTGTTCTGTGTCTTCTTCTTCTATCATATCTTCTGCTATTTCTATTTCATTCTGTTTTGTTCTGGGTTGGAGGCTGTTTTTTCTATCATATTGTTCTTCATACTTCTCCTTCATTAATTGTTTATCTTGTTGGCTGAATGTTTCGTATGTATTATTTGTCTTTATATTACTATGGTCATCAAATGGTTTTTCAGAAGAGGTTATAACTTATAATCATTGCTTCTCTATATAGGGGACACGTGTGTTATATGGTTCTGGACATCTGGAACATGATAATAGTTTTGCATATATTACGCAAATGCGTCAATATACTAACTGGTATACGCGACTAGTTAGTTTCCAATTCCTTGGTTGCCGTGTCTTGGAATAGGTCCTTTATCCATGGTACTTTTAAATCCTGTTGTAGCGTCGCGCTTGAAACGAACCACGGAGTATTCGTGACAAGCCACAACGCCTTGTTTTGCATAACTTGGAGTTTATTCAAGTGTGTCTTGGCAGCGTATGAAAACGCGGTTGCGGCGTACGTCATAATCGGTCTAATGACCGATGTGTACAACCGAAGTTTATTGTTGAGGCTAATTTTGTTCCTGCGGTTCATCATCCATGGGATTGGACGTCCGAAGAGATTGACGCTTTCTACCGGAACTTGTCGTTTTATAAAGATAAGAGCGCTGCTCTTTTCTGGCTTCACCGCTATTCGCCAGCTTCTGAGTCATTCCTGTAGTTCGTTGGCCGATTCTTGATTTCTGTTGGTGATCACGTGTGGTGCTATAGACTTAGTTATATTATAGTGGTGTCGTCGGCATATAGCGCAAGGGCGGTGTCATTTGTCTTGGTTGTAGCTATCGCCGGTGTAGAGAGAAAACAGAAGCGACGATAACGGTGGCTCTGCGGTGTTTCGGCCTCCATACCGCGGGAGCTAGATCG